AGAGGCCCCCCCCCATAAAAAAAAAACCCAAAAAAAAAAAAAAAAAAAAAAAAGGCTTGGTTAATGATTTGTGCATTATGAAGAAATTGTTTAGTTCAAATTACATTTCCGTGTATGTGGAGACATCTATAATATAACGATCATCTCATAGAAATAATTGGGAGATTGTTTCAAGCAACTGTGATTGTCACCTCTGATCTATTGACCTGCAGTAGCTTTCACTGATCATTAGGAAAATCATTTAGACCACTTCTATGAACATAGAAATACCCACAGCATCTTCAAATTTTTAAAGCAGATCAGTTCGTTCAATAATAAGCTCTAGGCCCCTTTTCCTTCAATATTCTTCAATTTAATACTTATATTAGATACAATTTTCACTGTATTTGAAAAATAATAATAGTAATGCCTGGCCTCTCTCAGTCTACGTACTTGCTCTGGTGTATTTATCTTCATTTGGGTAGGTTTTCCCTACCGCTACTTCTACAATCATAATTCTATCCTTTTGTCTTAGTTTGTTATTATGTTACTAACAGAAATATCTGAGACCGGTCATTTATAAATATGTGTTTTTCAGACTCACAGTTTCCGTGGCTGGGAGGTCTGAACGTGGGCATCTGGCTGACTACAGCACGGCGGACGGCAGCAGAGAGGAAGGTGGGTGCAGAGAGAGTATGCTGCAGACAGCTCTCTCGTGACTGTCTGCTCTCATGAAAACGAACCTGTTCTCGGGAAAGCTAGAACTCTGTGTCTCACAGGACACCTTAATCTATTCACGAGGCCAAGTGCCTCCACGATCCAAACACCATGATCCAATTGCTGCTCACTAGGCTTCACCATCTCGCAACACCATCACATTGAGGATCACGTTCCAAAGCATAAGCCTTTGGGAGGGAACCATAATACCATTTCCTTCTGCAGAGTATCTTCTTACTGTTTACATTGTCAACCTAGAAAGAAGACTGAAGTGGGCCAGCACTTCACCCCCTGTGGTTAAAGGCACTGGAATCCTACGTGGCCAACCACAGTTCTAGTCCCGGACCTGAAATAGTGAATATTACTACCGAGCCTATGGTCCTTCAAAAATTAATAAGGGGAAGCCAGTAAGTGGTATTGTGGGTTAACATGTAGGACTCTCACATGGCCGGCCACAGGCCATTGCCCTGGGGGATTATTTCTCCCATTCCCTTTCTTTCTCGGTCTCTGGCAAGTGCACATTCCCTATAGGAAACTAGAAAAAATAATGACTAGAAATTTTTAAAAATTGTGATATTGGATTATAGAAAAGTGTTTATCTAACACCTACTCTGCTATAGTGATAGTCTGTCTTCAAAGCAAGCCCATGGGGCAGTTAGCCACAAAAAGGACAAGTTCTAGTCCCGAACCTGGCGGCTTGCTTTCTTGCTTTCTCTTTCTTGTTCTGTCTCTGTCTGATCAAATTAAAATAATGGTAATAATAACAAATGGAATTAAATAGATAAACAATTCTTTTTTAAAAAAAGAAAGAAGACTGAAGCACAAGTGAAATAAAATTAGTTTATTTAAACTGGGACTTAGGACATATCACCTAGACAAACAGACTCTGGTTCCTCAGAAGTCTCCTCACTGAAATCCCTATTGAAATTAGTTTTTAATAAAGAAAAAGAAAAACAGAGAGGTTATAAGTTATTTGGCAAGAATTTATGCTGGTCCATTTTAAATAACACAGGCAACTGATTACCTATACATTATTATTTACAACAGGAATTTGGGGAGCATTGCATGAACAAAAGGGGTGTGAGGGAGTCAAATTGTAAATCTATTACTATTTGAAAATTGTCTTATTTACTATAAATTAAGATATGCTTTGAGCAATTACGGTGGACATGGAGTAGGCATAACTAGAGTCTGTAGGTATGTACCTTACTTGGGTCATTAATTTTTTTTTTATTTTTAAAGAATTACTGGTTTAATTTTATTTATGATTTCTTATTTAATTCACCAGAGAGAGACAGACAGACAGAGGAAAAGTGAGAAAGCATGCCACCAGGTCCATGACTCAAATTAAGTTGATTATGGGGAGTCCAGTACCTTAACTACCACACCACCTGCAGGCCTGGGTCATTAAAATTTAAATGTACCTTGAGTTCCACATAGCTTAGAAAGATGCTTTACTTTTTCAGCGTTAGCCATCTCACATTTAAATTTACATTATGCTCAATTACTTGCTGTAATATTAAAGCTGATTTTTAAAATTATTTATTTAATTTTATTTATTCATTCATTTACTTTAATTTGACTAGACTCTCTCTCTCTCACACACACACACACACAGAGGGAGAGAGAGAGAGAGAGAGAGAGAGAGAGAGAGAGAGAGAGACAGAGACAAACCCGTAGTCGACCAAGTGGGAGTGTCCAGCGCCCTATCCAGCACGCCATCTGCTGGTCCCCCAAAGCTGGTTTTTTTTTTTTTACTTTAATCTTAAAATTATAAAAGTAGGGGAACCAGCAGGTGGCATAGTAGTTAAGGCACTGGACTCCCATGTGCTCAACAACAGTTTGAGTCTCAGCCGTGGCAGCTTGAAACCCACGTAGGGTATGTTGAGTGCATGCCCCAAATCCTGAGAGTATGAAGGAGTAGTGGTTGTGGCATAGCCATTCCCACTTTCTTTCATGAATGATTTCTTATCTTCTATTTTTCTCTGTCTCTCCAGCAAGTGCATGCACCCTGTAGCAAAATTACCTCAAAAAATTTTTTTCTAAATATAGAAATGGGTCAGTCTGTGATTTGGTGGTTAAGGCAGCTTGATCCCACATGGCTATCTATGCAGCTCATGTCTTGAACACAGTGAATCGAGAAACATGCTGGATTCAGGAGCTTTCATGCCTCAGATCCCAGTAGGATAAAGAATTGGAGGAGAAGGGATTACATTTTACCATTCCCCATGGGAGATCCTTTCTCGCTTTCCTTCTCCCTCTCCCTCTCACGCTGTCTTGCTCTGGCAAGTATGGACCTTCTGGACAAAATAAAATGAAATAAGTAAATTTAAAGAATTGTAGATGTGAAATAAACTTACTGAAAATTAAAACATGATAGAACAAATAAGTAGAGGGCCAGCCAGGTGTTGTGGTGATGAATGCAGCTAGATTCCACATGGCAAACTGTGTGGTTCAAATTCTGGACCTGGCAACCTGAGAAACATGGCTGGTGTGTGTGCATGCATGCTCGAAATCCTGAGAAGAGAGTAGAGGGGAAGGGATTGCAACATGGCCATCCCCGCTAGGTGGTGCTTTCTCACTTTCCCTCTCTCTCTCTCTGGCAAGCACATACACTCTAGAGCAAGATTTTTTAAAATAATAATTATCAGTAGAATTCTCAGAATGGTATGTGATTGGCCAAAGAATCAACAAAATATTCTCCTTAAGGTTTTGTAGTGTTGTAGGGAGTAAATGACAGTAATGAGGTGCCCATGGTAATCCTCCGTGCAATGCTGAAAGCACGGAGAGACAAGAAAGACAAAAACCAAGGCACCTGAAGCCTATTCCTGCCTTGCAGATGGTCAGTGGTTACAGACCTTGTGGTCACTAACTACCATACAATTCTCTAATCTGTCTTTTTTTTTTTTTCTTTTAAATCAAAGCATGCACGTGCTCGCTAGAGGGAGAAAGAGAAAACCACTTCCAGTGGGATGTGTTTGTGCTGCAATCCTTTCTCCACCATTTCTCCATATTATCAGGATTTGGGGCACACATGCACATACACCTGGCGTGTTTTGCAATCTGCCAAGGCTGGGACTCCAACTGCAGTCACATGGGATCCAACCTCAGTCATATGGGATCCAGCTTCCCATGCACAGCACTTAGACACTGCCTTATGGTGCTAGTCCATGGCTTCTTAGTGATAGTGATGTGTTCTGGAGGGTAAGAGAGAGGGGTATATTAAGAGCCAAGTTTGCAGTTGTGAACACAAGTGATCAGATGAAGGGAAAGGTTAGTTGGTCCAAGCAAGAAAGGAGAGAGATTTAAAAAAAAGAGAGAAAGAGAAACAGGTTAACAAATCATGGAGGTGTTACACTAACCTAATTTTTTCTCCAAACTGTGATTTACCTGAAAGCTGAAATAAACCAACATTCAAGGAGATCCACTTAATAAGAAAGATATACTTTTCATAATTTGGCATAACTGGACAGTGATATGTGATTCTTAACATAAAATCTGAATACTACAACTACCTACTACAACTCCAGATTTTTTTTTACCCACTTTCCTTAGTTAACTAGGGCACCGACTAAGGAATAAAAATCATAAAAACAAAAATTAATCTCCAACTCGTAATCTAAGGTAACAATTCACAGTCTCCAAATAAATAAGGAAAACCATCAAAATGGTTCCACCAATTTTTGTGTTTTCATGTTTGTTTGTTTGTTTGTTTGTTGACAGCTAGCAAGAAACGCCTAGTTGGGACCTGTACAAAACTGCTGGAACAAACTTGGAATGAAATAAAGGATGTAAATTGCAGATAAAGAATATAACTTCAAAAAAACAACATTTCACATAATGCTTTGAATTCCTAGTAGATGAAAAATACAATGGAGCTGGGGTGATAGGTGACATGGTGGTTAAGGGGCTGCTGGACTTCCAGGTGACTGACCACAGTTCGAGTCCTGGACCTGATGGCTTACTTTCTCATTTAACCTCTCTGTCTCTCTCTGGTTAAATTTTAAAATAATAATAATAATAATAATAATAACAAATAAAATTAAGAAATAGTTCTTTTTAAAAAAGAAAAAATATGAAGTCTTCAAAACAAGACAGAGTGAAATAATCCTATTATTTCTAATTATCCATATAATTTTACTAAAACAAACAAAAAAGGTACTACAAAAATTTTTTCTTCATCTTTAAGAGATATATGAAAATAAAAGGTCAAGTTATATAGAAAAGGACTAGTCATAAACATTGCCTCTTTTAAAAAAATATATTTATTTATTTATTTGTTTATTTTTAAGAGAAACTTTTGCTATAGGGCTCATGTGTTTACTGCAGAGACAGAGAGAGACAGAGACAGAAAGCAAGAAATCTCCCCCAGGGGATATGGCCACACAGCAATCCCCTCTCCTTCATTCTCCTCTCGGAATTTTGGTCACACACACACACACTTGGCCAGCATGAGTTTTAAGCCACCAGGTCTAGGACTTGAACTGTTGTCTACTACGTGGCAGTTCAGTGACATAACCATTATGTCATCTGCTGGTCCCAACATTGCATCTGTTTGAACACAGAATTAACTGATAATTATGACTAGAGAACAGAATATACATCTTATATATGAATTTTTAAACTTTTATCTATTTCTTCCATGAGAGAGTGGGAAAGAGAGATAAACAGGAATCCCCCAACAGGATCCTCAGCCATGGTTTACCCCCTGCCTCGACCAGCCTGGATCACACAGGCACATGTGTCCAGCTCGGCCAGGTAGGCCCAGGGACATGAACCAGGAATTTTCCTATACAGTCTCGTGTTTCTGCTGCACCATCATCTGGCCCCAGATTTTATAATTATTGAAGGAAATATTAGTCTATAATGATAATCATTTAACGGTAGCAGTTTAGGACAAAACTGTCAGAGTATGCAATTGTTGGAAGTTGGAAAGCTGGGGAAATGGAAAGTGGTGTTAGTACTTTAATCGCTGCATGAGACTCACTAGAAGAAATGTTATCAGTGATGAGATTTTACCGTGATTTTGTTTATAAATAATAATATAAACCATTTTTATTTTCTAGAACAAAGTCCAGATAATGTAGAAAACGGGTTATTTATTTAGACTCAGTGAAAGGCTACCTATGAAATTACCTAACAGTGTCAGAAATTCTATTGTTTCATTTCAGACTGATCAAAATGATGCCAGTCAACTGAGCCAAGTGTACACATTCTTCACTCAACCCCAGACTGTGTCCTAATGGTTCATTAAACAGCTCATTAGACTTGCAGTACTCTCAGCCACAGGCCTGCAGATCCCACACAGAGGACACCTTTGGCATCATCCTGCCTCTTGGTGCATCTCACTTTGTTTTGCTATTCAGGCAGCTCATGAGGGACTTTGGTGTTCTAGGACAAAATTGTATTTTAAGCAGCCTGTTGGTGCACTGATTTTGATTTGTGTTGTTGAATGTGCTTCAAAAAGAAGCTCTAGGGAATTCAGAGATCCCACAGCTTAAATTTCAAAGGAGAAACTCAAGACATGGCTAGGTGGCACACTGTAGAGAGAACACATGTGCAGGTCACGGACTATATGTACAAGTCTTTTATGAAGAAGAATATCTTGCTCTCTTGACCTGAAGAAAATCCCAAATACATAGATTCAAAGTCTAGCATGTGATCCTTGAAATGATAGGGGATTGCTATGAAGAATCTTTGCATGGAGAATCGTAATTAAAAAAATTGTTGGGACCAGCAGATGGCATAGCAGTTACTGGACTCCCACATAGCTGGACAGGGTTCTACTCCTGGACCCAGTGGTTTGAGACTCATGCCGGGCATGTGTGCCTGCGTGTCCAAGATCCCAGAAGAATGGAGGAGAAGGGAATACAGTGTGGCCATCCTCTCGAGGGGTGATTTCTCACTTTCCCTCTCACTACCTCTGTCTCTCTCTAACACGTGTGCCCTAAGGCAAAAAATCTCTAAAAAAATTATTACAGGGTGCATGCAGTTTCTGGAGACAGAGAGAGGGAAAGTGAAAAATTACTCTTCAGGGTGATGGTCACATTGCAGTCCCTTCTCCTCCATTCTCCTCTAGAGATTTTGGGCACACATGCCCACACAGCAGGTGTAATTTTCTTCTCTTTTCTTTCTTTTTTTAAATTTTTAATACTTTTTCATTTTATTTTACTTTATTTATTTATTTTTAATTTGACCAGGGAGAGAGAGAGAGGGAAAGTGACAAAGCAAGCCACCAGATCCCAACTCCAACCACAGTCGGACTTGTGGGAGTCCAGCGCCTTATCCATCACGCCACCTGCCAGCCCCACTAGGTGTAATTTTCAAGCGGCTGGGTCTGGGGCTCGAACTATACACTTAGGCATGTGGGATCCAGCCACCTGAACCTCCATTTCATCTGCTTACTCTGTACATAGAATTTTTTTTTTTTTTGGAGAGATTTTCACTGTAGGGCGCGTGCGCTCGCCAGACAGACGGAGAGAGACATAGAGACAGAAACGAGAAATCACCCCCCAGGGGGGATGGTCACGCCGCAATCCCTTCTCCTCCATTCTCCTCTCGGGATCTTGGGCACGCACGCACACGCGAGTTTTAAGCCACCGGGTCCGGGACGCGAACCGCGGTCTACTACGTGGGAATCCAGCGACATAGCCATTACGCTAACTGCTGGTTCCCTCTGTACATAGAATTTTAACATGATTTTACTGGTTTGTAGATCTCTATTTAAAATGAGATTTTTATTCTTGTTAGGAGAATTGTCACCATAATTGAATGTTTTATATTCTAAATTTTTAAAAAATATATTTCAGGCATAAATATTTTGGTTTTTTTTGATGATGTTATCATAAACATAATCTTAAAACTTAAGTTAAAAAATTGATATCAGAGCATTGGCTAGATTATAGTTCCTAAGTGCTGACATCTAGTGGCTGTTGCTAGTTTTTAATAAAGTACTGCCTACATAGTCTTTTCTGCTGGCTCTATCATAATACCGGATTAAAAAGTATTTCCTTCAATGGCCAGGCTGGCTCCCACATAGGTGGCTGCGGGGTTTGCATCCTGGATCCAGCAGTTTGAGAAACAGGCTCTGTGTGTGTGTGTGTGTGCCCAAAATTCAGAAGGAGAAATGGAGATAAAGTGATCGTGGCATGACCATTCACTAGAGGAGGTGCTTTCTCATTTTCTCTCTTCCTTTGGGAAATGCGCATGTCCTCTGGCAAATTATTAAAAAAACAAACAAACAAACAAACAAGCAAAAAAACACAACTTACCTCATAATCTAGGTCACATGATTTTTTATAAAACTTACACATTTAAAATATTTTAGTTAAGAAAAATCATTCCTTTTTTTTTTTTTTTTTTTTGGAGAGGTTTTTGCTATAGGGCGCATGTGCTCGCCCGACAGGCAGAGACAGAGAGATAGAAAGTGAGAAATCACCCCCCACCAGGGTGAATGGCCACGCTGCAATCCCTTCTCCATTCTTTCTCGGGATCTTGGGCATGCACGCACATGAACCCCGTGTGAGTTTTAAGTCACCGGGTTTGGGACGTGAACCGCGGTCGACTACATGGGAGTCCAGCGACATAGCCATTACGCTAACTGCAGATCCCAAGAAAAATCATTCTTAAACCTTGGGATTAAATACAGGGTTTTCAAACTTGTTTCCTCTGTTAGTATGTCATTCATAAGGATAGCACTTGCCTATTACAACAACCGGCTACATACAACTTTAGACAGAGGTATAGAAGGAGGCAGTTGTAGCTAGTCATAGTGTTTGAACTTTATGTTAAGAACCATGTATCGCTGTCCATTATGCCAAATTATGAAACGTATCATATCTTTCTTACTCAGTAGATATCCTTGGGTGTTGGTTTATACTTCAGCTTCAGGGCAAATCACAGTTTAGTGAAAAATCAGGTTAGTGTAACACAACCATGGTTTGTTAACCTCTTTATTATCTTTATTTTTCTGTTTTCTTTTATCTCTCTGTCTCCTTTCTCACATGGCCAACTAACATTTTCTTCATCTGATCATCTGTGTTCCACAACTGTAAACTGGCTCCTAAAATACAGGCCCTCTCTCTTACCCTCCAGAAGTCCTCACTCTCATTAAGAAGTCATGGGCCAGCCCCATAAGGCAGCATCTTTCCTGGAGGAAAGGTAAAACGTTTTCTAAACCTCTTGAAATATACTGTTCTTCAGTTTTCTTTCTTGTCTGCTTATGAAGGCTGTTGGCATCAATGGATAGTCATGAGCCTCAGTTCCTTGGATTTTCCTGGAAGCTTAAAGCTAGTAGTATTTTGGTGATCACAAAGAACATTGAACATGAAGACACACACATTAGGCATATTCCCAGCTTAGCCCTATGCGGATCTTATTGTTGAGAATTTTAAGGTAAGCCAAATAAATATGCCATGAAATAATTGCAAATTAGTATGATATATAGAATATATGTAAAGAGGGGCCAGCAGATGGCATGGTGGTTAAGTGTGCTGGACTCTCGCATGGTCAACCATGGTTTGAGTCCTGGACCTGGCAGCTTGGTTTCTCACTTTCTCTGTCTCTCTCTCTCATGAGTGCACATGCCCTATAACAAATATTAAAAATAAATAAAAAAATAAAATAAAAATAATTTTAAAAGCATACATGTCAAGTATTGAGAAAACACAGGGAAGGAAATTATTGGAGATAATGGAAAAAAGTTCACATAGGAGTGATTTCTAAATGAGGTCCAAAGATTATTTATGAATTATCCAGGTAACAAGAGAAGTACTCTAGACATTTATTC